AGAAGGAAGGAGGACAGAGCTTAGAACTCAGTGTTCTGGGTGATTGATCCTAGAAAACCACTTTAGAGCACAGTAAGAGGAAAGCCTTATCAGCAGACAGTGGTGCTAGCATGCACCGATCCCACCTCACTCTCTTACCTCATCCTGTGCTCTCTCTCTCACCTTTCCCCTGGCCAAACAAAGAGTGTCCGCCCTGTCCTTCTCCTGCTGCTTCTCAGAGCAGGACTGAGCTTGACCAGCAACCCAGGAAGACCAGCAATTGGGAGGGAGATCCTGGTTGCAAGCTCTGATTTGGGGGAAAAGCCTTGAAAGAACAATGTGGCATCACATCGTAAGCAGACGACTCCAAGGAGATTGGTTTATGGCACTCGGAGCCCTGGATTAGCAATGAGGGTGAGGAGGGAGAGAGAGAGAGAGAGCTTCCGCAGGGCACAGGGTTTGATCATACCACAATCCCCATCCTTCAGTCCTCCATCCTGATAGATCTTGGGCACTTAATGCTTGCCCAGCATATTTCAGGCTGACCAGGGATTCAACCCACAGTCACCATGTGGGATCCTTTTCCCTCGAGCACATATTATCACATCCTACAGACCTATCCCTGCTACACCATGGAGCCAGCCCAGAAATAAATCATTAAATAAATATTAATAAATGAAATAAATTATAAAAGAGAATGTGATATGAAGAGAGAAGCAGAGAGATTTGAAGACGCTGCTGGATTTGATAAGGAGGAAGGATCCAGAAGCCCAAGAACTCAGATGTCGACATGGGAAAAGGCAAAACATTGGAGTTTCCTCTACAGCCCTGGTAGTTGTGTGGCTCTTTCAACACCTTGGTTGTGTCCTATTGAAAACCATTTTAATCTTATCTCTAGAGTAGGAGAATATGTTTCTTTTTTCTTTTTTGGAGAGATGTTCACTATAGGGTGTGTGCACTCGCCAGACAGACAGAGACATAGAGACAGAGAGCGAGAAGTCACCCCCCAGGGGGGATGGTCACGCCGCAATCCCTTCTCCTCCATTCTCCTCTCGGGATCTTGGTCACGCACGCACACGCGCCCGGCGTGAGTTTTAAGCCACCGGGTCCAGGACATGAACTGCGGTCGACTACGTGGGAGTCCAGCGACATAGCCATTACACTAACTGCTGGTTCCCTAGAGTAGGAGAATACATTTCTGTCACTGAAAGTCCTTAATGTAGTTAATACATTAGGTGAGCACTTCCTCGGTTCTGAGCAAAGTACTGTACATGTTTTCTCTCACAGCATTCCTACAAGACATTCTTTTCAATCCCCATGTAATTGTTAATAAAACTAAGGCACGAGTTGGGAAGCTAGCTGCCTGCCCAGGTTCCTTCAGTTGTACAGTGTGCAGCTGGGACCCCAACTCAGTCACTCTGGCTCTAGAGACTTTCACAGTAACCATCCACATTAAGGACAGGATGAATCATTGAGCCTCCAGTCCATAGAGCAGCTTCCAGAGTTTGCAGGGGGGGTATTTCCTGTTTGTTGCATTTTATCCAGTATCTCCAAATAGTGGGAAGTTGGGTGGATATCAGCTGCACATATTGGCATAAATGCCAGCCTCACTACAAAGGATAGCTCCTAGGGGAAAGCACAAAGCAAACAGCATATCTAGACATCACATAATCAATGAAAATTATGTTTGTGAAGAATTTCTTTCTCTCTTTTTTTGGGGGGGGCGGGGGGAGAGGTTTTTGTTACAGGGTACATGCACTCACCAGAAAGACAGAGAGAGACAGAGAGACAGAAAGTGAGAAATCACCCCCCAGGGGGGATGGCCATACCACAATCCCTTCTCCTCCATTCTTCTGTCGGGATCTTGGGCACGCACGCACACACACCCAGTGTGAATTTAAACCACCAGGTCTGGGACTCAAACCGCAGTCAACTACATGGGAGTCCACAACATAGCCATTATGCCAACTGTGGGTCCCTGTGAAGAATTTTTAAGGATATTTGGTTCCTAGACCATTTGTGGCTAGTAATAGAAAATATCTGAGTCTGTGTAATTTAAGAGAATAAAGGACTTTCAGCTCACAGGAAATATAAAGGCCAAGTGCCAGTTCTGATAAGGGTCTTGCAGGCATCACACTAACAAAGCAAGAGCTGAGAAGCCAGCAGGTGGCATGGTGGTTAAAGCACTGGACCCCTACATGGTCTACTTGAACTGCAGTTTAAATCCTGGAACCAGCTACTTGAAAACCCTGCTCAGTGCCAGGGTGAGCATGCCCAAAATAAAGAGAAGAGAATGAAGAAGGTATTGAGGTGTAGTCATCCTCCCTAGGAACTGATTTTTTTTATTTTTTTTTTCTCTCTCTCTCTCTGTGTCTCTTTCTGGTGTGTCCACGTGCCCTATAGCAACATTTTTTAAAAGCGACAAAGCATCTCCCATAGAAAATAGTCACGCTGCAATCTCTTATCCTCCATTTCTCCTTCCTTTGGGGATTTGAAGCATTCACACATCTGGTGTGTCTTTCAAGCATCTTAGTCTGAAACCCAAACACCACAGTTGTCCATGTGGGATCCAGCTGCATTCACATCCAAGCCTCTAGCCCCCACAGTGTCTTCCTCATTCCTTTCTTTCATTACCAGTAGTAACCTTTGTTTAGAAAACAATGAGGAAGAAGTAGCAGTCTAGAAGCACCTAGGGATGCAGGAAATTCAGAGAAAATATGGCTCTGGTGAGATATTTAAGTCATATAGGTAATGGAGTTTAACTGAACCCATTAATACTTCGCAAAAGGTTCAGACTTAGGTAGGGTGTTAGGTGTCAGGGTGTGCATGGACCCTTCATAAACTGAGATTTTCATAAATATTTTTTTCTTTTCTTGTGAAACAGAAGAAGCAGTTATACCAGTGCTTAGTACCACATGCATTCGAGGCTTAAAAGTCCACTAGTAAGCACGTTGTATCCATAGTTGAGGGGCAGGATCACTTTTTAAATAAGGATCGCTATTAGAACGTAATCAAACAGAGACTGAAGTCACCCTCCCTCCCCAGGAGCCTTGAGGGAAAAGGGAGACAGAAATATTGCCCCCTACTTGCACGTGGGGTCTCCCTTTCTCCTAGGACCTCCCTATGCCTGGCCTCTCCCGTTCAGGCCATTTTGGGGAGGTGGGGGGGGGGGCAACGCTCAGTCCTCCATGGCAAATCTTTGGTCTTTTCCTCTTGGTCCCCCACTTTGTAGCGCAGTAGCACACGTAGGCGACGAGGGTTGTTCCGGGAGGGCAGCAGTGTGATCTCTCCCGAGACCTCCGTATCTTGTTCGACTTGCACCGGCTCATTCAGGTAGAGAAACGCCTGCTTCCAGTGGGTGGCCGGGTGAAAAGGCGAGGTAGACAGCACCAGAGGTTTCTCAGAGTCCCCTCCTGGGAAGGTCACCTGGTACCAGATGGCAAAGCGGGGCGCGGACCCATAGCAGCTGCAGTGGAAGCGCCCGCTCACCCCTGCCTCCAGTTCCTGTTCCAGGCCCACGCGCCAACTCGAGCTGAGCAAAGCGCTGCGGCCAGGCCAGCATGTCCTCGTCAGACACGCCCTGCACCACGATCTCCGAGTGGCCCATGACACAGCGCGTGGCAAAGCTCTCCAGGCAGCTCATGTCCACGCCGTAGTGCTGTTTCACTGGGCTCCAGAAGCCTGGGCGCTATTCCAGCATCTGGTCGCTTATGGGGGCCACGAAGAGCTCGGCAGAGACTGGCAGGAGAAGCCCCCCCTCCTTCAGCCACTCGGTCCTCGCGTGGAGCACGGAGCTCAGCATGGACTCGTGCACGAGTCCGTAGCCCATCCACTTGCTCACGACGGCATCCACTTGCTCCGGCAGCTCCACAGTCTCCACCGGTCCCGGCAAGACGTGCACCCCCGGCCCTCCATCCCATTGAGCCGCACCACCTCCCGGGCCTGTTGCCAGATGGCGCTGGCCTCCACGGCGTACACGCGCCGAGGCCCGGCCTGGGCACAGGAGATGCTCAGGATACCGGTGCCCGCGCCTACGTTCAGTACCGTCTTTCCCCGCAGCGCTGCCCAGTTCCGCAGGATGCCCAGGGGGTAGGCATCAGCGCGGACGCGGTCCGCGATCATCTCCTCGCGGACGAATAGTACAGCTAGTCCGCTCCCGCTTAGTCCTCGGGGTCGGGGCAGGGCCGCCTCCCGCTCCCGGTCATCTTCCTCTTCAGTTCCCTCCCCTCGTCCCCACTGTGTCTTGATATTACTATTCAACCTTAACTTTCAGCCAGCCCAAGATCATTAGCACACAGGTGCCCAGAGAACTCAGACCCAGATTGGAACCCGCCCATGTAGAATTGCCTCCCTGATAGTCATCATTTATTGCCGCGCCTGCCACCTGTTGGCCACTTACTTCTTTTTCTTGAAGTTCATTTATTTAACGATTCATTTATTTAACGATAGAGAGTATATGTGTACGAGAGAAAGAGAGAGAGAGAGAATTCTCAATAGCATCTTTTCATGCGAAGGATCCCTTCCCTTGGGTTAAAGATGGTGGGCACACATTCACTCGCCCACAGCGTTTCCAGTTAATCCATGTATCCAAACCTCATTTGACCCTGTGCTCAGCACTGCAGGTCAGTTTGCTACTGACTGGACCACCAGTCGGAGTGAACACCTTGGTTTTTGACCACCCATTGCAGGCATCTGACTCCAGAACAGTAAGATTGTAAATTCATGTTGTAAATTCATGTTGTTTTTTTCTTTTCTTGTGAAACAGAAGAAACAGTTATACCAGTGCTTAGTACCACATCTAAGGATGTGGCAGTTTATTACAGCAGCAATGGGGAGCTCAGAAAGAAACTGACAGGGCCTGAGAGCAGGCAATGATCAGGAGGATGATGGACAGGCAGAGACCCAGGCAGGGAGGAGTCAGGAGAGAAGCAAGTGGGGACCCTGGAAAAAGGAGAGAGAGAGATCAGGACAGACAGACAGGAGGACAAGGGGTAGGAAAGCAGACAGGTGGGAATATGGGCAGGTGGGCTAGGGACCAGAGCAGGGGACAAGAAGGCCAGATAGCCAGTAGGAGGCCTCATAGCCTGTCTTTCTCCCCACCAGGGTTAGCCGAGCTTCTTGAGATGCAGGTGGATTCCATTTTTGGCTGTCAACACGATACATGCCATTGGGATGGGGACCCTGGAGGGATCTGGCAGCAGCTCAAAGCGGAGCAGGATCAGGGCCACAGCCACCTTCAGCTCATTCATGGCAAAGTGTTTCCCAATGCAGTTCCTGGGCCAGGCACAGACAGGGAAGTGAGAAGTGGCCACAGGCCTGGTGAGCTGGGCTTTCAGGACTGTCCTTCATGTAGCCCAGTCACGGTCTATGCCCCTTACAAGTCAACCACATCTTTGCCCAGCCTTCGTCCAGAATCTCCCTGACCTTTGACAAAGCCAACCCATGTCGCAGGGCTGATTCTAATCCCACTTCTGCTCTCAACGTGCCC